GGGTTGAGGGGTTGAGGGGTTTCGGGTTTAGGGTTTAGGGTTCACGGTTTAGGGCTTTTAGGGTTTAAGGTTGAGGGCTTTTTTTCTGGTTCATTCTCTGAACTAGGGTCCCTTTTAGAAGTCCTCAAAGGGATCTATATGGGTTGTTGTTTCTAGGGTTTTTTCTAAGGATGTGTACTAGAAGGGTTGAACATAGGTAGTTCTCTTGAACTAGGGTCCGCTTTAGAGTCCTTTGTATAAGGGCGCCGTACTATGTTGGGACCTACACAGGAATCGAACTCAGAGAACTACCCTCCCTAAACCCTATACCCTTTACCCTAAACCCTATACCTTTTACCCTAAACCCTAAACCCTATACCCTTTACCCTAAACCCTAAACCCTTCATGCAGCGCCGGACCGGGAGCCAAGCCCTCAAACTTGAGGCGTATGGTTTGGGGTCAGGGTTTGAGGCTTAGGGTATACCTTAAGAACCCAAAACCTACTTTTTTGTAGGGTCGCTATAAATCCCATATTAGGGTGTATAATAAGAGCCTACAAAAAAGTGGGTTTTGGGTTCTTAAGGTGGGGTGTAAAGGTTAGGGCTTTGGGATTCGGGCTTCGCGTTTAGGGCCTAGGGTTTAGGGGTTTGGGGCTTCGGGTTTAGGGCTTATCAAGTTCAGAGGCCTTTTGGGTGTAGGGTTTAGGGTTTAGGGTTTAGGGTTTAGGGTACCTGGACGCTAGGTTGCGGAAGCTCTTTGCAGAAATCTACGAGGGGATTCAAGGATGGTCAGCCCTAAACCCCAAGCCCTAAACCCCAAACCTGAAACTCCAAACCCTAAATATCTCTTGCGGTTCGTGAGTTTCGGGCGATGTCACAAGGCTTCGGCATTAGTTTCGATATGATGGCTTTCAAAGTTCAGGGTTTAAGGTTTAAGGCTTGGGTTTTAGCGTGTAGAGTTTATGGCCTTCCGTGTAGACTTGAGAATCAAAGTATCGCCCCAACCATGTGCTGCACAGGCAACCAGGGCAAGCTGCGAAGACCCTGGATGCATACTCCGAGAGTTATTGTAAACACTAAGCTGTGTGATATTTTGGCACCTCATAGCAGGACACTACGATCGTGTGCGACCACATGGGCTATCCGCTGGGACTGATAGAGCCACTGCTGCCGCAGTCAGGAACACACACTATCACTATGCTCTGCATCAGGGGGTCCTTTTTTTTTACGTCAGCTTCAGGGTTCCAAGGGCTAGGGTATTAGGGCATCACTAATGGTTCCTTCTGGGGATTCTAGTTGAAGGATTTTAGGATTGTGGTTTATTAGGATTCAGGGCTTCAGGCCCTTCAGGCGCAGGGTCATGAATGGTTCAATTGAGGGATCACAACGAGGACACTGCGTACTGCAGGGCCCAAAACAGCAACTTGGGGCTTGGCAAGGGGTCTGATAAAGGCCGAAGGGTCCAAAAGTCCAATGTTGGGAGCTTGGACAAGATTCGGGAAGGACCACAAACCCCAATAAGGGGCCGCGAGAGGGCCCAGCTGGGAAGATTGGGATATTTACATGGCCTCGCCTCCGTGCGCGTTCCAGGCAATTTGTAGCCATCACACACATGCCCAGAATTTGAATTTGGGTGGTTTCGAAAAGTGTCGGAAAGAGCTAAAAAGCCCAACTTGGTGGCTTGGGAAAGGATTTGGAAAGTGCCCGAAAACCCAATGATGGAGGCTTGGAGATGGAAGGGTCTGGACAGTGCCAAAAACCCACTGGGGCAGCAAAAGCCCAATGTGGAGGGAAGTCTCGAAAATTCGAAAAGACTTGTTTTCGGATTGGGAAAGCGGTCTGCTACAGTTCGAGTGCCTGGAGAGGAGCTTAAAACACGAACCATTTTGGGAGCTGGAGAGAGGCTTGGAAGAAACTTAACAACCCAATATTGATGGCCTGGAACGAAGGTTCGGAAGAACCCCGAAACCCGATTTTGGAAGTCTAGGCTTAAAAAAACAGAAGACCGCCCAATTTGAAGGGCTTCGGAAAGGAATCCAAAAGGGCAAAACGGGATCGGGCAGGCAGACTGACAAAATGCCAAGCAATCTACTTTGTTGGCTTGGAAAAAGGGCCCAGTTTCGGTGAGTAAAAAAAAACTGGGGATCTGGCAAGGGTGAACAAATCCAGTGGCCTGGAAATGGCACAAATGCCCAACTTGCTTGCCTGGACAGAAAACCCGAAAACGTGCACGGCACTCTGGCGAGAGCACGATATCCACCAAACATGCAGGAGGGGCTCCATGTCTGCATCCTAACCTTCAAAAGTACTTTTCAGTGATGTAGCTCTATGTTACTTTCATTTCTTTGATACCTTACCCTGACCAGAGGCTCCGTCCATGCAAATTATGAAAAGTAGCTGAGAGTAGTTGATACTCGCAGACTGCTCCCCGCAGCTTTCTGTTTGTGACGCCTGTAGAGCCACCTGTGTCTACGCAGCTCGTCGCCGGTGAAAGGCCTTGCACATAACTCTGCTAGCATCGTTGCTTCAACCAAGCGTCCTTGGCCAGGGCATGGAGACC